TAAGGCAGGATGGAGCTTTCTGTACTGGGAGAATGCTTTAAATAATAAAAGCACACTGGGCTCATGAATAGAGTATTATAGCGATGTGAATGAAAGTTTTTTTCTCTCTCAGCTTTTTGACTTTGCTTCCTATGCTGACTGAAAAGAGAAAAAAAAATAACACTTTGTCCACTGTCCAACTTTTCCACAGAAAATGCAAAAAGACTGCGGGGCAACGCCACATAACTATTGTACAGCTGGTTTATTGAAGTTAACAGCTTATATATGTGCATAAAATATTGAGTCACATTTAACGAAAGGCACTTTTCTAACTTAAAACATCTAAGAGCTATCCGTGTGAACACTTAACTGCTCTTCCTTTTTGTTGTACGCAAACGTGGTTAATTGTGAGTTTGAATAATTTTAAGTGCTGACCATTTTTGTTTTTAAAATGGCAAACATATTTATTTTTGTTGTAAAGTTAGATCCCTTCAAGATGAAGCTGTGTAGAGATGTATAAATATATTCAACCAATATCAAAAGCAAACGAGAGGAAATGAGCTTTTAAATACATGATTAGTAAAACCGCCTACATGTTGTAAAATCCATGCTTACATTAGTTTACAATAATCTAACATTCCCCTAAGCATAAACCTTAAACTCAACCAGTCAGTCCTGCCAAGTGTAACCAGGTTCAGATCTAAAAAAAGAAACTTTGCCATAGAAGATCGACAGTGGAGGACATTTTTTAGGCAACTTTGACCTTTTTCTACAGCTCAATCAGTCAAGTATAGCTCAAATATGACAGCAAAAAGAATTATATCATTCAGACTGTCATATCTTGTACAGTGGCTACCAAGCTTTTCAGCTTCCAGCCCATAACGAGTGAATAATTACAAGCTCTAACATGGCTGGACAATTAAAACGTTGCTGAAAAGCTAAATAAACATAATGTCAACCAGGGCTCTCCAACCATGGACCTTGAAATCATCTATCCAACATGTTATAGCTGTTTCCCTGCTCTAATACACCTGATTCAGTGGTAGAATAGAATAGAATAGACTTTATAAATCCACATTAGGGAAATTCACTTGTTACAGCAGCACATACATTAAAGGAAAATAAATTACAAGTAAACAAACAAAGACAGTAAGCAAATATTGTAACCTTCAACTACTAAAAACAATGAATAAAAAGAAAAATTTTGTTTCCAGAACTATGCAGCAAAAGGGACACATATATTCTAATGTACATCCAGAATTGCACAAGTTTTGAACACATCGTAAGTAAGCAAATTTTATTTGTAAAGCACTCATCACAGACATAGAATCACAAAGTCCTTCACATAGATCAAAACATCAAGTCATCCTGAATACAGCATTGATGTTATTGTGTAACAGGATTATACCAGTACCAGTTAAATAGAGTTGTACACTTTTACTGCAGAGGGGATGAATGACCACCGATAGTGTTCTGTTTTACACTTGGATGTCTCATTCTTCCACTGAAGGAGTTGTCTATGGCCTTCACAGTGGAATGCAGTGGGTGGGAGGGATTTTCCAAGATGGAGGTCATCTTCGCCACAAGTATCAATGTGCATCATGTACTGTCTGGTGTTAAAGTAAAAGTTAGAGTCCCATTAGTTGTCATACTGGTGTGTGAAATTTGTTCTCCGCATTTGACCCATCCCTGGGTCAAATGAGTAGTGAGCTGCAGACATAGCCACGCATGGGAACCATTTGGTGGTTTAACCCCCCCCCAATCAAGCCCCTTAATGCTGAGTGTCAAGCGAGGAGGCATTGGGTCCCATTTTAAAAGTCTTTGGTCTGACCCAGCCATGGTTTTGAACCCATGATCTCCCAGTCTCAGGGCAGATACTCATATCACTTGGCCACTGAGTTGATATACGGAAATAATTCAGTTTTCATTACACCATTCCAAGCTGCAATCATACCCTTTCAAGAGCCTGATTGTTGTGTCTGTTAAGAGAAGCACCTCTGCTTATCAAGCATGTGAGTGTGTATGTGTGAGACGCTGGCCAGAACTCTGACAGATGGACCAGTGTTTAAAGCACGTCCCATAAGCCTGCGGCCATCTCCTGCGACCAGATGAGGAATCCGCGGCGTCACATCTCCATCCCCCTAGTTCACGCATCACCACCTGGCACTCTGACAGCTGCTGCTGCCCATCGCAGCTCATCAAATCCAGTTGCCACGGCCCTTGACACCTTCCCCCATTTCTCCACTCAAAGTGCCAAAAACCTCAACTAGTGAATGTTTGATTTCTATTTATTCATGTGGTGTTTCTGCTCCCCTCCACCCCCATTGGCTCTTGAATACCTTTCAAAATATACAGTATATCTAAAACTCAGAGCAGGCTGCTTGTGTACAAGAGCTGTCAGGAGGCTGTCATGTTAGTCTGCTCTGCCTGGCATAGGCGCCCTCTTATAAATTCATGAGGTTGAAGTGGGAAAACCTCTGTAAATGTGTGTGTTTCTGTCTGTGTGTACATGTTTGCCTTTGATTATGCATTTGCATGTCAGTGGAACCACTTTGATGGCAATCTGCATAAAAATAACAGCAAAAGAATTATTGGCAATAATGGAGAATCATTTTGCAAGTTTGTATTATTTTTTTGATTATGCACATCTCTCTGGCACTGAAATGTGTGCATAATATAAATGTTTTTGATATTTGATGCATGATATTCACAGACTTCACAGAGTTTTTCTGCTCTTTCAAAATATGTTTTGTTTAATTTAAAAATTCTTGTCTAGTCAGCTCTCAGCCTGGACTGATTTAACACTGGAGCAGATCTGTACCCTTCCTTAATCAAGCTCTCATCATGTTTCCTGCACTCTGAGAATGATTCAATGTCTGTCAGAGACGAGAACATGGACTGCCTCTCAAGGACTTTCTGTCTAGCAGGGTTTTTTTTTTTTTACAACTTTCAGCATCTTAAGACAAAATTATTCTGCAGACACAAAAAAAGGACATTAAGATGTCACTAAAAACTCTGCTTTAATAAACCTCCACTGGTGTGGCACTTGGTGTGGTCAATGATGCTTCAGGAGAAGGTCAAAATGTGCACTTGTAAACTTTTAAATTTTAAACATATTTACACACACAACATAGACTGTTTAAGAGCACATTAATACAGCCAGTCCATTTCAGACAAATAATTTATTCACATTTTGTTTCTCTGTACCATTCTTGTATAGTTTGCACATTCACACAAAGAGGATGATGGGGAAGGATAAAAAGTAGGGATGTGTATTGGTGAAATTCTGGCGATACGATACGTATCACGATATATTGCGATACATTCAGCCAGACGATATTAAAAAAATGGTTTTGAATTTCTTGTAGGAAAATTCAATAAACAGTCCAAAATGATAATTAACATGTTTAACATGAGGTATCTGAACCATAATAGAGGGATTTACATTTCAATGGTGGAAACAAAGCCCATTGCACACTGCTGTCAACTAGTGGTCACCATTTGAATTGCACCTAAAGAAAAGAAAATACACAAATGTTTCCTTGTAAATTCTTCCAAAATTTCGATACACGATTTTTGAATATCGATATAATGTCGCTGGAAAAAATATCACGATGTATTGCCACATCAATATTTTCTTACATCCCTGGTAAAACAGTAGAACTCTTCAAATAGATTTTTTTCCTGCAGCACAGTTGAAGCAAAGTTACAAACAGTTCACAAAAACTGCATGAAGGTGAATATTTTCTAAATTAGGAATGTCCAATAATGAACCTACCATTAATGTTGGGTGATATTGATACTGAAATTATCAGTATCAGTTTTTAATCTTCTAATGAGACCATGCACATGTACATCAAACTCTTCAGCTAATTCTCTCACTTAAAATATCAAACTGTGAGAGATCTGAAGTACAGTTTATGAGATATGCTTGTTTGTTTGTTCTGCATAGCTGGCCTAATTACATTAAAATAGTTGTCATATGTTGCACATATAATGTTCAAAGACCAAGTTCACTCATTTTTTTCAACAAATTTGCATTGGTCTCTAGTATAAATTAACATGTGAGTCGATCTCTGTGGGAGAAAAGCTCAGGCCCTCCTGTTTCAGGAACTAGAAGTGAGTCAGAGGAGAGGTGAGCAGAACATGGCAGAATTTAGTCTTTTATCCGGATATTCAGACATCTCATCCCTAATTGGATAACAGCAATTCAACTCTAGCACTGACTCCATTTGATTTTCAATGTTTTATTTCCACAAATAACTCAAGCCTGAAGGAGTTCTGCTGTGTTGTGGAGTTGCTAATGCTAATGGTTAGCTTTTACTAGACGAGACATACCCTGCTCTCTCCTGGACGCTAAACAAACAACAGCCTTCCATGCTGTGAGCCGAGGTGGGTGAGTCCACGAATGCAAATTTTCAGTATGATGTAGAACTCACTGGCTTCCTAATCTGAGGATTTCAATGTCTACATCCTGTTGGTGGCTAATACAGGAAATAGGGATAAAAAGACTATTTTTCACATTCAACCTTCATGAGGAAGGATTGTCCTTGATAGATTTAAACATTTTGCAAAATAAATAAATAAATAAAACATCAATTAAAATGTAGTTTATTCTCACAACAAAAACTGTGGTAATGCTTTATTTTACAGTCCTCTAATTACTAAGTACTTACATGGTAATTACATAGAAAGTTAACCCTTTGATGCATGAATTATGAAATCTTCAATCATGATTCTTTAAACAATTTTTTTCATTTGTCTTTAGGTGTGAATGAAACAAATTTCAACAAACATTTTTTGCAACATTTTGTTAATTTACAAATAATTTATTACATGTCCATCTCAGTGGACAGCGTGCATTCTGAACATGAAACATGTTGGCTTGACTTACTGAAGTCCAAATGGAGGGGCTCACATGCAATAAAGTCTTCAACAGCTGTGCTTAATAGCAAAAATAAATAAATAACTATTTTGAGTACCTGTCCACTGTAGTGACCATTATGCATCAAAGGGTTAAAGTGTATTATTGTTTCTGAGTTCTTAAACCGTTATTACCATGTAACACAGGTTCAATTTATTTTTTATTTTTTATTAATCATTCCCAGTAAATACTGCTTTACACAATAATTACACTTTACTACATTTATACACTTTAATCACACAATAATACACTTTAACTTACCATGCAATTACCATGTAGCTACTTAGTAATTAGGAGACTGTAAAAGGAAGCGTTACCAAACTGTATTACCAATTTTGTTGAAAAACATTAAACTTTTAAGGAAATGAATGAAAACAAATTGGTTTACAAAACTGTTGAAAACAATTAACCTTATCAGACTTATTAATCCCTTAAAATGTCAGAACTATAAAAAAACAAACTAAAAATACAGAACAACTGAGAGCGAACAAGTAGTTTATTTTTATCTGAAGTTGTGCATTTGTGTACATCATTTATTTGTTGCTATAGTTACAAATCAGTCCATTTTCATAACTAAATTTCATTGTATTCAAAAAATTATAGTATTGCATATTAATAAACTAAAACATTCAGATCTTTGGTTTTTCACCCATTTCGTTCATCCTCCCTCATTATTCTTTTGTCCTTCTTCTCACCTTTCATCCTGACCCTCTCAGTTCGGCGTTTGCTCAGCTAATAAGCATAGCATTCCAGCTGAAAACATTTTTTCTCTCAATTTACGGCTCACCACGGCAGCTTAACAAATTAGAATGTTTATTTATGGCCATCAATATTTAATTGAGTTTACTCTAATCTCGCATTAGCTGGTTCAGAAGTCTCTGCATGGCTGTTTAAATATTAAAATTAATTGGAGTGGAGATACTGTAAAGAGGCTTGACTTAATTGTTCTGGGAAAACAGGTAGCTTCTAAAGCGTTGGCATGTAGAAGGCACTGCGTACACACCCATTCAAATACACACAGCCAGTGCTTTTGGCAGGTAATTTCTTTTAGATTTTCTGTTGAATGCACAAACAATATTCTTAGTTCACGGTTGTGTGAAATGTTTACCAAGTAGCTTCAACAAGCTGTAGCAAAAGTTAACAGGATTAGTGAGATGGGTCTGATAGTCAAACTTAATTCTAATTACTGAGTATTTTAAAGAGCGGGTCAAGTGAGCCTCGGAGTCCTTCTCCACCCACGTATCAATTTTAAAAAATGCAAAATTAGTAGGCGTTGCCTGGAGGACCGAGAGGGCGGAGCCGCGGCAGTGACGTAGACGAAGGCTAACTAGATGAAGCTATCCCTTTACTCTGAGCAGAAGTGGAGGACGTTTCTCCCCCTCCTTACCCAGACACTCGAGAAGAAAGGGACCAAGTCTGTTTGGAGGAGACAAGCGGACCTGAGCCTTATTGTTTTGAGTTGCTTGAAACTCCCAGAACCGACCCAACAGAACCACCTCTGAATGGTAAGTAGCCGTTAGCCATAGCATTGGATTAGCTGCAGTGTTTGGCTCCACGGCCCTAAAAAGCTAGTATTCAGCATGTTTTAGAGGTTTATCTGCTTCAGCACACCTGATTTTAATCAGCAACAAATAGCTGAGCTGCTTAACAGCTAATCTAACCTGTTAAAGCAGGAAAATCCACTGAAACATGTTGGATAGCAGCTCTCCGGTAGCCCTGGGCTCAAGCTACAGTCTGCTGCATATAAAGTTATGAAAATACCCCATGAGAAAATTATTCTGTAATGTGTTCAGCTCACTAAAACTGCCCTGATTTATTTATTTACTGATAACAGCTGCTCTCTTGGTTCTAGGTCCTCCGGTGTCTGCAGCTGGTCTCTGGTGTCGTCAGGATCAGGAGCTTCCGGAAGAATGTGCCTTTCAATGACTCTTTCCCCCTTATTTGTTATATTAATTAAATAAATCTCAATTTATATATTTCCTGTTTTTGTTCATGTCCATAAATACTTAAACATGCTTGAAATTAAAACGAGCTTTTAATAGTGAGGTGCTAGTTTAATTCATCACAATAGAGCTAGTTAAGCATGCAACAAAAATGTGATAATCAATGTAATTTATAAATATCCATTAAAATATCAAAACTGGAATCTAAATGAGATATTTGGCAGCACAAAAAACTTGTCAAACACAATATTTATTATAATAATTGTAGGCAGACAGGAGACAGAGCTGATGGAGGTTCTCAGTCATCGAAGGATGGCTGAAGGCTTTCCAGGAACAGGAGATGTGGTGTTGTCTCTTCTCTCTCTATTCTGCCAGATGAGCTGATAGGTTACAGGTGTGTGAGGACATCCTCATGCTGTCATAACCAGATGACAGAGTTATCAGGTGATCAGCCAGGCTAATGATGAGATGCAGAAAGAAAACAAATCCAGGACAGTGTACAATAATATGTGGTGTTGCTCACCTTATGTGCTCTTATAGAATATTAACGTGTGCCTGCCTCATGGTGTAGAGTCCATATTTTGCTGAGTGTCCTGCAATAATGCAGGTTATTAGTTAATTTACTTTTGATAGCAAAAACAAAATATTTAATGTAAAAGTTATTTTCCAGGTGAATCAGCTCACACGTCACCACCAAGTGTCACGGGGGCAGAATCAGTAGCCTCCGTCATGATGTAATCACATACTTATTTAATTGTTAATATCTTAAAAATTCTGAAATGTTTTAATTTTTTTTTTTTACCTTGAACAGTTCACTGAGCTTGCACTGTCACTGAGGTGGAAGCTGGAATCAACAGCAGACACCTTACATCTTGGTCTTTTCAGGGGGTGTGGATGCTCTGGGACCTTCTGGAAGATGAATTTTCATCATGGTCCCTGTGGGTCACCAGACACACTGCGGCTGTGAACTCCATTCTGGCTGGCTATGTAAAAACAAAGAAGCAGCACATTTATAAATGTTTAAAAGAACATAAAATCACGTGTAACAATAATCTGTAAAACAAATTAAAACTAGAAGGTAATAATAAAATGTTTACATAGAAGATTATTAAAAATAATTCACCTTTGCTACAGGTAAGGCCTTACGTCAGCCTGGACAAGTGCATTCTTGCAGCTAAATCAGTCTGACAGCCAATGTCTTGGGTAGATTTAGCCTGAAAAAAATATATAAGCACATTGTTGTTGGGAGTTTATAAAGTCAGATAATATACAAAAGAAACTGTCCTATATAGGCACTTTATAACATTCCTAGTGTGTGATCGTTGTTATAACGTAAAAGTCAGTGACACATGATGTGGAGAGCCTGAAATGTGACCTCCTGAACATAATTCCTTACAGAACCGGGTCACAAGCTGGATTTCACGCTGTAATGCTGTCTGTCAACTAGTGCTGCGTCAGTTAGAGCCACTGTTGCAGAATTGCCGACTGACTAGCTAAAGGAAGTGAACCACGTCTCTCAGACTTTGCATTTAGGTAGGAAATTGTCTTTAGAAGATGTTAAAACGTTTATTTAGCTGACTCACCTCAGACTGGAGCCCGCCGTGGTGGGGGAGCAGAGTCGGTGGGCTGCATCTAAATCGCGGAAGAGCCACGGTGGGCACAGCCTCCCTCTTCAAACGGAGGCGTGCAGAATCGCGGGTAAAATGCCCACAGAGTCACCGCAACCATACTACACTACACCTACTCACCAATACTAAGACGATATGGAGCACTAAACCCAACTACTTTCCCAATTACACTAACAGCCAAACACTAACTAAACTACAATATCCAACAGCCAAGCTAATGCTAAATAAGTATTTATAACACTAAAAGATATGCTAAAGACTAGGATATGCTAATGCTATATGCTAATGCTGAACTACCGCTGACCTCCTATGCTCGCTTGCAAATCCAACTCCCACTCGCCACAGGGCGTGGCCGAGACGCTCGATGCTTTTATAACTTTGGCACGGAGCTGCTACGTAGTACTCTACTGGTTTACGTAGTATTTTACTCTTTAGCCATTGGCTAAAATTTATTCAAAATGACTCAAATTCTATGTTTTCAGCTGAAGGTGGCGCATTACTGTGGTTTTTAGACAGAATTTTTAATTTTTACAGAAAATGCGCCAAAATGCTAAAATAAAGAATGCACACATTTAAAACACTATTAGACACTCATTTATACAGTTCATCAGCAAAAAAAAGTTAATTTAGACGTTACTTGCTCTTTAAGGTGATGCTGCTGGAGGACAACAGTGCACTACATCAGATCTAATTACAAAATGCATCATTTTTTAAATAAATATGCAGAAATAGGTGAATATATTAAAAAGGCGTTAAAGAGTGTTGTGTCAAGTTTAAACAAATATGTTGTGAGTCGATATCTGTAAGAACAAAAGCTCTGTTTCAGAAACTAGAAGTGAGCCAGAGCAGAGCGAAGCAGAAGATCTCTGGCTAACAGATGCACAACTCTACCAGTGACTCAGTTTGATTTGCAACATTGAAGTTTTATCTCCACAAATAACACAAGCCTGAATGAGTTCTGCCGTGCTGTTGAGCTGCTAATGCTAATGGTTAGCTTCAATAACCGAGGCATACTCTGCTCTTTCCTGGACATTAAAGAGAGAATGTGTAGTTTTTTTCCATTAATTTCTGGAAATATCCATCAAAATGTTGTTGATAATGAATGACATGATGTCCATTTGTTGAAAAATATCGGTGGCTTCGTAACATGTAGCCGTAAAAATCAGGCCTAAAATACTTAGGAGTGGGTTTAAGGGTGTTTCTCAATCAAGACCTTTACTTTTTAAATTGTGTATATATTTGTTAAATGTAATATTTAAGCGAGTTACTACCCACTAGCCACCGAAGCCGCAACTACTATGCAACTAAGCAACCATAGATAATTTCTTTGGATCTAAAATTTACATTTAAAATTAGGTGACTTACTTTTAAACATGAAATTTGCACCCGAAGTAGATGCCGGCTTCTGATCCGCCATCCTTTTGAAAATACTGCGATGTATTCTGGGTACGTTTTGACCAAGGCTAGGCTACAAGACACCTCCCTTGCTCAGTTAGCTAAACGGCTAACAAACAGAACACATGCCTCGGTAGAACATGAACATTGGAAAACGTCTTGGTGGTTCCTGATGACGTATCTTCTAGGCAACAGGGCCAGGGCCAAGCCATCAAGGCGAGGTTCCTTAACACTGAGAAACACCATTTGTCTCTGGGCAACGCCATATTTCCTTCTATGGGAGCCCACGAGGACTAAATGCATTTATTGATTTCTAACAAATGGTTACAAAACTTTTGTCATTCTTAAATGTTGTTGTTTTACACATTTACTTCTTCACTTGTTGTCGGTGATGAAAGGGATTCTGATGTGCTCGTAATTTTGCTGAAGTTTGCACTCCTCAGTTTTTTTTTTTTACCCTAATAGGCATCCGTTGGTAAGGTCTCACTCCAACACAAAATACTGCTTGCTTGCAATGATTTAGGTATCTACTGCCCCCTATCGCCAGGAAAAATACACACTGTCACTTTGAACCAAAAACAGCCTTTCCTGTTGTGATCCAAGATGGATTATTTCAGTTTCATGTTGAGTTGACTTGCTTTTCCAATCCGAGAGTGTCACCACCTATTTCCTATCGGCGGCTAATGCAGGAAATGGGGTAGAGAACTCAGTGAACTTCCTCTTTATGGTTTGTCTCCATTTTTCATAAAATATCTTTTAGCAAAATTATTTTCCTTTTTTATTCTTTTTCAGCATTGAAATCATATTTTTCCTAATTAGCCTATTTAAAGTTTTCTGCTATGAATCTGTAAATTGGTAGAACTCTGGAAAAATATTTATGACACGAGAACTTGATGCAGCACCTGGAAACACTGAGATGCATCTGTTTGCTGCCTTAAAGTCTCTGGATGATGTCATCACACAATTTGCATAATCATCCACATGTATCTAATTGTAATGGATAATGTAGAAGAGTGGACTAACAACACGCAAAAAACAAAAATATTAATACAAAGTGCAACAGAGAACTGCAAACAAATTTTATTCTGTCAATTTTAGTTGAAAGTTGTTTTCTTTTTTCAGTATACCCAGGGAAGTAGAAGTGCATCAACAAATAATATTTGTCTCTGACGAACTTGAATAAAGACTTGTTGAATCGTAGTAGGGTGAAAGCATTCCAAACTGCATCCTATTGTAAGAATACAGGTGAAGCACGGTGGCGGCAGTTTAATGGTTTGAATCATAAACAGTTTGTTGATATTGACATGAAAAGCCAGTGGAATAAATTCTGTTCAAATACGCAACAGTTCATTTTAATATCCCTCAAACAAATCCAGTCTGTTGCTAGTTGGGTGAAAATACAGAATGTAAAGCAAACTTTTACATTTAAATACTGAAAAACTGAAACCTTGAAAACTGAGACCTCTTTTGGGACGTTTCTTCTTTTTGTTTACCTGTTTCAAAATTGCACTCTGCACTGGCTCCAGGTGAA